TGGTGGAAAAGTGAATGTGTGCACAGCGCAGGTGAAAAAGGTGATCATCGGGCCAGGGTGATAAGAGTGAGTCTGTAAGTGCAATGATGAGCAAGTGGAAATGTGGGGTCAGTGTGGGGTTAGGCGAGATGAAGGGGCTGCAGGGTTCCTTTTGCTTCACGGGGCTCAGCCGGGTGCCTCGGCAGGCTCCCGGGGTGCAGGAGCCCCTTGGCCCAGCTGCCTCCCCCTGCCTCCAGAGCAGCTCCCCGTCTGCTGCAGCTCCTCCAGCTGACCTGACATAAAATCGCTGTTTTTCCACCTAAGCAGGTGGCCGCTGCGCCGGGTCCGTCTGCGCCGGGTCGGTGCCACCCGTGGTGGCACAAGAGGGCTTGAGCAGATCTAGCAGGTCCTGACCCCAAAGCAGGGCTGCTTCTCTCTCACCACCCCTTCCGCTTTCTGCCATCTGTGCTCTGAAATTAATTTAAACCTTAACATACGCATTTTTGGTATGTTGGGGTTTTTCTGTCTGGAACTTAACCTACTTCTGCTTTAATTCCAGATAACGGTGCTGAGATCTGACCATAATTAGAGGCTCAAGCATGAGCACCAGTTTCGCTCTCGGGAGCGGCGCGTTAGCGTCCAGTTAATTCCCTTGAGCCAGGTTGTCTTCCGACACCTTTCCCCTGCTCCCCGGGGACGCGCTCGCTGGGCTGCTCCCTACCACCGAGGCACAGCACGTACCCCAGGCACCGCTGCGAGACCCCTGCAAAGGGCAGGATGAGTCCCGAAGGCTTTGCTGGGGCTCCTCACCTCTCGCCTGTGTTACCCTGCTCAGCTCCCTGTCCCAGCCCTGGCACCAGCTTCTCAGTGAAGGCAGAAACCAGAAGTTTTGGGACTGGCAGAGGTGAGAAGCTGGGTATGAATTGCTGTGGTTTGAAGGCATCTGAAGGATTTTTCTGTTCCCTTACGGCTTTTTCCAGCAGCGGCGAGCAGCCCTACCCAGCACCGGTTGCCCACCCTGTGCTCGGGCAGGGAGGTGTCTGCGCTCGTCCCTCGTGCACGGAGCGGGGCCGGGCTCATTGCTGGACTTGGCACCCGGGGTGCAGCACGGGGCAATCTGTGAATATCTTTTAATATCTCGTGAGCTGTTCGTCTTCAGATTTACTCTTGGAATCAAGGTCAGATTCTCCCTGGATTATCGCCTCAGCCATTCACACAAGGCTCCACCAGTGTTTTCTTCTCTGATGTGAATGGGCTGATCCTAGGATGGTTAATTAGTGATTTCTGATTGAGAACGTAGGTGGCAGAGTCACTTCGGGCAGTCAGGGCACCTTCTCCAGCAGTTGCAGTTTTTCAGAAAGCTTTTCCATCCATAGTGTTCCCATGGGCAGTGCCGGGCAGAATTGGCTTTTCCAGTAGCTGGGAGCTTGTGGGAAAGGCTTGGAAGGATTTGTTGGTAATAAGGTGACTTAATAGTGTTCTTCTTGAGCAGTTCTTACTCCTAGTGTTCAAAGCACTTGCTTGGAAGCTTACACGAACTTTGCTCTCCAGTATACTTAGGGATGTTACAGAATTACTTATTTTCTGGTTAATGAATAATTAGTCCAGTCCAGTCAGCTTGGAAGTTGTAGCTGTAGGTAGTTTAGCTGTGGCTGGGCTGTAGCTCCTCTGCCCATGGTGTGCTGCTCGGTGCTGGCTGTGATGGATGCAGCCTCTGAGGAACAGGTCAAATAAGTTAAATTTCATTTTTTCCCAAGTACTGCTTGCAAGGAGTCAGCATGCAATGAATACCTCAAAGCCCTATACGTTCAGACACGGGTGAAATCTTCCCGTGTTGAAACATGCTTGATCACTGTGTAGTGCTACGGCATGAGCCTTTGGGGAGGGGCGGCTGGCTTTTGGGAGAAGACGAGACATACCTATAGAGCAGGGCTGTATAGATCATTGCCCAGGTCCCGTGTGCTGCCTGTGGTATTGGATCTGAAATAGGTGGTGTGCTTTTCTCACTCAACAGCTTCAGGTATACTCGGAGTCGGATGGATTTGATGTGTTTGCGTGGTTTCTGGTCAAATTCAGCAAGTTTCTGTAGACAGCGACCCCTCACCGGCCAGCCGGCTGCTGCGTGCTGTTTACCATATCCTGCAAATCTTAAAGACTCAACCTTTTATAGTGAATTTTTGCTGTCTGTGCAGTATGTCGTGGGAAATGGTAGAGTGAACAGCTGGGTAGGAGGCATTTGGCACCAAGGAAACACAGGAAGCAACTCGGTTTCATGGGCAAGTTATTATTTAGCTGGGTTTATTTTGCAGCCAAAGTGCCTTTGGCACTGTGGAGGCATTAAAACACCGACCCTTAACCTCGAGCAACTGAAGTCTGAAGGTCCGGGAGCAGGCGCTGCACTGGCAGCCCCAGAGCTGGGTGCTCAGCACCCAGATAATTAATAATAGTCTGTATCGGCCGCAAATTCTGCCACCGGCTTTCCCAGAGCGGGGACAGGGAGGTGCAGGAGGACGTGGCACAATGTCTCCGTAACGTGGGGACCAGGTGAGCCCGGCTGGTGTGGAGAAAAACCGCAGCTGGCAGAAGCTGCCCCTCCGCCGCCTTTCCTTCTTCCCTGCTTGCGCTGCGTAAAGAAATGCTCGCTTTTAATGCCGTGTTTCCTGAAGCTGAATTTTGCTTTGTTTTAAATAGGGGGTTTAATTTCCACCAGGTTGCTTTACAGAAATCTCAGTTTTCTTTGACATGCAAAATGGATCCCTGTATATATTTTTCAGGACTAGCATCCTTGAACACACCGCTGACCCGCGTGCTCCCATCCACCTTATCATACACAGCGAAGATAAACGTGGGTGCACGCCCAGGCCAGCCCACGCCTCACCACCTCTCCCTTCTCAGCAGGGACAAGAAAATATTTTACAGAAACACCAGCCGTAGGTTTTAGGGGTTTTTTTTGTTATTAATCAGATTTAAGAATTGGAGGCATGTTTCAGTCCTCAAATCTCCATGTTCCCATGTTAAAGACCCTGTGTGTGTTTCTCAGGAAGAGGCACAGGCTGTGTTTTTAGTCTTGATTCATCTCTCTTTGTCGCAGAGCTGGTGGTACTTTGCAAGCCGGGCAAAGGGCAGAGGTACCTGGCTCCCCACCGCTGGCAACGTACCTTCATTCTGCCTGAAAGCAGGCATCGGTTGCATCGCTTCCCTAAATTGTAGTCCAGAGCAAACTCCATCGAACCACACCACATCCCCCCTTGCTTTGGGGTTTACTTCTGCTTGTTCGACAGCAGCGGCAGAGCCCGGCGGCGCTGTTTGGTTTGATGTTGGCAGGCGCAGCGCTGTCAGGCGGCATCTGGGTCTCTTTGTAATGCAAGAGTTGCTCCTTTTTGTTGCCTGCAGCTGAGCTGAGGAGCCCGAGCAGCCCAGAGCGGCGGTTTCTGGCCCATCGCCCTGCCTTTGCCTGGGCTCCGCACCGCTTGCCGAGACAGCTCGGCTCCAGGCACGGGGTGAGCACTGGTACGGGTGATGTCCCCGCTCTCTGATAGCACGGCTAATTATTAAAATTATGCTATACTTTGATCTGTTACCTAATTGGCTTACCTTTGTGGTAGAATTATCTAATCTGAGACTGATGTGTTTGAAGTCTGTCCATAAGTGGTTCTGGCAGGCATCCCTTAACTGGGAGATTAGTCACTGGGATGGGAGCAAGCCGTTACTCGG